GGCAGGGGATACTGCCCCGTCAGGGCCCTGCCCCCTCGCAACTGCAGAAGCAGGACAGGGGTGTGGTTAAAGGCCAGCCTGCAGGACCCCTTACACAAGGGTTCAGGGACGTGAGTTATTTCCCCCTCCCTGTGGCATCTGGTGGAGGGGGCTTATCCAGCTGCTTGCCCCACACATGGAGCCAGCGGGGGCAGCGGCAGTCGAGGGTGGAAGATCCCAGCTGCAGTCCCCCAGGGCAGTGGGGCTAGAGGGGGGAATAACCCTCCCTCCCTGGCCCCCCCACCTCAGGGGCCGTGCCTGCTGGCATTTAGCCATGCCCTGGCCCTGCCACTGCAACAGCGAGGGGGAGTGCCTGGGGGACCCTGGCCCAGGTCCATGCCGGTGGGGGACAGATTGGGGAATTAAACCCCACCCTGGCCAGTTCACTCAGAGCTACTGCTGGGGCTGGCCATGGCCCTTACCCCCCCGCAAGAGTAGCTGGCAGAGACATACAGGTCTGCGCTGATGGGACAGGAGGGGGCAGGGAATAAAACTCTTCCCTGCCCCCTTCCCAGGGCCAGTGTCTGGCCAGGCCTCCACCCTTGCCTGTCCCTGCTCTGTCTGCCGGTCCACAGTTTGCCAGTCCGCGGTTTGCTGGTCCTTGATCTAAAAAGGTTGGGAACCTCTGAGCTAGACCATGGGTGTCCCACTTCGAGGCAGCTGGGGGCCACACACTGTGCGGGCCACAGATCTAGTAGCCACATTCAGCAGAGGCAGGGGGGGAGGGCCCTTTCTCTTCTCCACTGCACAGACTACCTAGCGTCCTCCTCTTCTGGCCATGCCTCCCCCCGGGAGCACCCTCAAAGGAAGAGACCCATGCCTGCGCTACAGAGGAAGGCAAAACCCCTCACTGTCCATGCTGATATGCCCAGGGGGTAAAAATCTTTCTTGATTCCCTGTCATGATTGTTCTGACCCTGAATAGAGAGGCAAAGCCTAACCAGAAAACTCAAGATTATTTTAGCCTCAACAGAAACATTGTCATATCCCAGTCAAAAGCCCCAGCCTTGGCTCCAGACAACAACCAATACTTTTGAGGCAGGTGAAAAAAATACCCTGACACCTGTAGAAACAGGAAGAGAAAATATTCCTCCTTGGCCCTATGTGGCAACCAGCAAAGCCTATAATCATGGGAAAAACAGACACCCTCCACCCTGCTCTGGAATCTGGGGACTGCAAATACAGTTCATATATCACACATCCTAACTGAAGAGCCAGGGCACCTCTTTCTGTTCTCCTATCCACTCCATAAACTGATCCCCAGCTCCTTCAATGTTCTTTCATAACTAAACTTGTTATGATGCTTTGCTTTATTCCCCTTCTGATGAGCATGGATCTCTACAATTGTTACCAGTTTTGGGCTTCAGGGCCCTCTTGTGATCTAGTGATCTGTTGGTGGAGGGGGGAGCTCCTGTTGCTGTCTGGGAAAGTGCATGCATGCAGTTATTTCCCTTAAAGAGAGGGAGGAAGATTTGCCTTCGCTGACTTTCACAAATAAGTCTTGTAAAGACACTTGGTTCAAAAATCAGAAATCACTGCAAGAATTTGTCTCAGAAATTTAATAGAAATCCAACTAATGCCCTAATTGGTCAACATTGGATTTATTTCCATTTAGATGAGAAGTTTTATATGAAACACGCTGTTAGCAGAAACCTTGAATGCAATAGAGCCACACTTTGAGCGCTGCTCATTTTACTTAAGTGATACCATGTATATATTGTCCAGGGTGGTACTACTGGGAAGAAGTAGCAGCCTGTTAATGGCTAAGTCTCACTCCCAGAATCTGGTATGACCACAGGAGTCAAAGCGTTTCCAGAAATGGTGTGGGAGGGTGTCTGCAGAGAGCAAATGATCTCATTACTTGTCCTCCCTGCTCCCAATTCAAAATAATTAATACCTAAATGTTCCTTACAATTAGTTTAGTTTCCTGCCTGGCTGGTTGACAGACACTACTGAGGTTTGAATCCATTGCAAACAAAAGCAGATGGCTACTTCGCTAACAGATTATGGCATCAAGGCGCACAGCCATTCAGCTCTGTCTCAATAAACTTCAACTTCTGATTTATAAAGTGAGCATAATAGAAGAAATCCATGATGCCTATAATCAGAATCACATTACAGCACCACTTAAAGCAGTAGCAGAATTGCCTAAGTAGTTATTGTATACTCGTGCCGAATTCAAATCTTATTAGGCAAGAAAGCAGTGCCTGGAAAACAATTTGTCTTGCCTTTGCTATTACAATCTCTCATTTAATTTTTATTGAGCTAATTAAGCTTAAAGTGATATTTCAAGTATAGATAACTACTACTGGATTTTTGGCTAACATATTATGTGGTCCAATTAACATAAATCATCTGATTATTTGCTTATTTGGGACTTTATAAAAAATATCACCTCGGTATACTTGTATACCTGCAATTTCATAATGGAAGTTCATTAGTTTCATGCTGATTAAACCAGAAAGAGAAAGGGAATGTGGTGAAGTATAGTAAATAGGTATTTGGAATAGCAGGCACTGCCTGTTGTTTTAGATGATAAATTGCAAACAAAACATGCCTCTCATTACTAATGAGGTGTGCTTCATGGTCGAGGGCAAGGCTAGAGTTATCTATCCATAGTGGATGACGGCTCCAGATGATGGCACAAAATTTCCTAACAAAGGCCCTGTATTCTCAGCATCCTGTGTGCTTATTTTTTTCCATGAAGATAAATATAGTTTTGAAGGACAGCAAAAATATGCTTGTCATGTGTTGTGCACCTGAAAACCAAATCTACTCTTGGTCTCATACACTGCTGGTCATATTTTTCAAGAGTCCTGCTTTAATTTAAGCTCTTTAATGAAGTCTTTGAATTTTCAAAAATCCTCTTTTTCTTGGAACTCCCAGTGTTTTGACACTTCTGAAAATTTGGCCATTTATATGAGTTCCCAGTGGTGGACCTGTTGGGCAGTGAGCTAGCTGAAAATCTTTCCCAGAGTGGCTTTGTGGGTTTGTTTTATTCCTGTGCTAGAACACCACTAAATTCAGGGAAGAGGTGAGGTGTTTCTAAGGGTGGGTTTTGTCTCCCTAATTCTGAGGACCATTTCTGAGTGAAGTTAGAACAGCTTCCCAGCAAATGATCTAGGTTCTATAACTAGTCTGCTGCCTGGAGGATAGTGTAGGAATGAAGTAGGAGGCCCCCAGGGCCACAAGTAAGGCTTCTGGGGCCAGCCTAGTGCTGGCCCCAGTCTCCCCTACCCAACCCGGGGCAACTTGCCATGTGCAGAGCGCCTGTGGCATAGGCATTCCCTGGGGACAACTAGCAGCATACAAGGTAAACTTGCTTACATGTCCCTGGGGAACCAAGCGTTCACACACATCAAGGCTAGGGACAGATATTACACATACACTGATTTCAGTGATCCAAAAACTGATTTAAACCTGTAACAGAAGAGAAGTTCAGTGCACATAAACCAGTTTGAAAATGGCTGAAACCAGTTTGAGATAAACCTGGTTGAATGTAGTATCAGACTTAATTGATTTGGCTCAAACCAGTTTATGAAATATCTGTCCCAGATTCCTTGCTGGCTTAAATTAAATCAGACTCTCCCAGCATCCTGGTATGCTCTCTGGGCTGGGTGGGGCTCTCTGCTCCACAGCAGGGCTGGGCCCTCCCCTCTGCTCCCTGGCTGCACTTCCGGCAGAGACTTGCAGGTACAGCAAGGTCTGCCTGGCTTCCCCTTGCCCTACCCACCCCTTGCTGCTCAAACAGGAAATCCTCCCCCTCCCCTCCTCTCCTTCCCATCTCCCACAGCAGAGACCCTAGCCTCAGGGACCCTAGGCATGTGGTATGCTAGCTAATGCAGACGTGTCAGTGTCTCCAATTTCACTTGGATAGGCCGACAGAACAGTGACTGCTTAGGGCTGTTTGGAGCTAATCAACAGGTCAGCTGGTAAGCTGTTTAAGAAGTTTGAAGAAATGGAGAGAGGCTGGTGTTTTGCTAATTGGGTGATAAGCACTGTTATCTGTCTCCTGGTGGCTTGCTCATATGTCAGTTTGCTGCAGACAGTATAAAGAAGCAGGGAGGGAGATTGAAAAGCTCCATGTCATCAACAGATGCATGCACTGTATCACCCCCCACCCCGCTTGCCTCAGAGTGCTAGCAGGGGGCTGGGGGGCTGACAATACTCCCACCCCTCGAGCAGTGAGCGGGGAAAAGTCTGGGATGCTTGAGGCAGACCTCCCTAATCAGAAAATCCTGCTAGGGCCTGGCCACACCCCACCCTCAGCTCAGTCTGTGCAAGGGAAGGGTGGGCTGCTCTAGTGCCCCCTTGCTTCTAGCCTGAGCCACTGCAGGTATGTGCCTGAATTTCTGAATTTCCTCAGTCCAGAGAGAATGGCTGTGCTGTTTCAAACTGATTCAATCTAGCCAGGTTAGACTAATTTGCAAACATTGAATCAATTCAGGCTCAGGCTTTTTGAATGTCTCTCCCTAACCCTGGATGCAGCCACAGAGTTCGTTGGAGATCCTCCCCTGCATGAAGTCCTGGAGCACAATTTCCCCATGGTATATATATGGCATAGGTAATACTAAGACAATATTATTTGGGCGAAAGGAAAATAAAGACTTTATTACAACCATTACAAAGGAGAGAAAATACGATACAACCTACTTTTCCTCAGGATAGGAGGCACACATTAGAATTAGCTTAAGTGCCATTTTTACCTTCTACCTATGTTCCTTTATGTCAATACCTTAATATCTTTGAAAATAAAATATTTTGGGGTATGTGGTGGAAAAGAGTAGCTCCAGGGCATTACTTTTATCAAAGGAGCTTTTTGCATTCTTTGATTGAACATTAATTTACCACAAGAAATCAGTGATTACCTGAGCAAGCTGCATTCTTGACTAGATACGGACTGTTTTCAAAGTGTTTCTGATAAACATAAACCCATACATGTTTTTTTTGCTTGTGTCATAGGCTTGCCTTTGGCAAACTTAAGCAGTTATAACCTCACTGTTCTGGAAGGAAATAGCATCACAGTGTATTGTGATGCCACTGGAGTGCCACTTCCCAACGTATCCTGGGCTTTCACTAATCTTGTTTCAAACCACGAGGTAAGCTTTTCATTCAAATATGTGTCTCTCTAGAGACTGAATCCATCTGCTGAAGGATGATCTGGAGCATGGCTTTCAATTTTTATTATTTTTATAATCATAAATATGAAATGGAAAATTAATGTTATCCTTGCATTTACTTTCCAGCTGTTCTTAATCCACAGTGACTGATGCAATGCTTCTTGGAAAAACATATTTATTCCTTGAAATACTGATTTTTGTTTGAAGTATATGGACCTTCATTTGTAAACTACAGTTCTTTAATTCTATAAGAATACTAGTTACATGATGAGCTAGGAAAGTGAAGCTCAAACACTTATTATCAGGAAAATACTAGTTTAGTAAATGTAAAGTTTCATGAATATAATTGTACTGTATTCTCAGATATGATATGCTTGAGTTATAGCTGTAAATATTAATTACTTTAGTGGGGAAAATCACCTTGATAATGTGGGTTTTTTATTTTCTTTAACAATATAACAACATACAAATTTGACTTTCAGGTTACTCTAGAGGAAATAACAAAATTCAGTTATAATGTATGGAAAGAAGAAGACAGGCGGGCGATCCAGGCTGACCTGGACAGGCTCAGCAAGTGGGCGGACGAGAATCTGATGGTGTTCAACGCCGATAAATGCAAGGTTCTCCACCTTGGGAAGAAAAACCCACAGCATCCTTATAGGCTCAGCAGTGCTATGTTGGCTAGCACTGTGGAAGAAAGAGACTTGGGGGTCATCACTGACCACAAGATGAACATGAGCCTGCAGTGCGATGCTGCAGCTAGTAAAGCGACCAAAACGCTGGCTTGCATCCATAGATGCTTCTCAAGTAAATCCCGGGACGTCATTCTCCCCTTGTACTCGGCCTTGGTGAGGCCGCAGCTGGAGTACTGCATCCAGTTTTGGGCTCCACGATTCAAAAAGGATGTGGAGAAGCTTGAGAGAGTCCAGAGAAGAGCCACTCGCATGATCAGAGGTCAGGGAAGCAGACCCTACGATGACAGGCTGAGAGCCCTGGGGCTCTTTAGCCTGGAAAAGCGCAGGCTCAGGGGTGATCTGATGGCCACCTATAAGTTTATCAGGGGTGACCACCAGTATCTGGGGGAATGTTTGTTCACCAGAGCGCCCCAAGGGATGACGACTAGGTTGAATGGTCATAAACTACTACAAGACCGTTTCAGGCTGGACATAAGGAAGAATTTCTTTACTGTCCGAGCCCCCAAGGTCTGGAACAGCCTGCCACCGGAGGTGGTTCAAGCGCCTACATTGAACACCTTCAAGAGCAAACTGGATGCTTATCTTGCTGGGATCCTATGACACCAGCTGACTTCCTGCCCTTTGGGCAGGGGGCTGGACTCGATGATCTTCTGAGGTCCCTTCCAGCCCTAATGTCTATGAAATCTATGAAATCTATGAAATACTTACTTATAATGTCACCCAAATGCTGCCCTTTACAATCCTACCATTCTGTCCCCATTTTCACAGTGTGTACAAGTTGGAGACCCATTGATTATTTTCTTTATAATGCAGATGCTGATAAGACCTTTGACAAGATTTCAGCATGGGGCTGCTGATATCTTAAATCTACCTTATCTGCATTGCATTCTGGAATTTGTGGCTTTAGTCTTGAAATTGTGGCTTTCTGCCATCTTGGAGTGTAAACTGCCTAAGTTACTCCATATGAGATGTATGGCTTTTGCTTGACAGAGAGGGCTGGTTCCTATCTTCCACATCTGCTTAAATGTGAAAAGGACAGGGAGATGCCCTAGTAGGACATCTGCTATAGATGAAATTTTGGGGAAGTGGTATAGTTTGCCTTGTCTGCCTCTCTACTCCCCCTTAACACATTGCTTCCCTGCATTAAAAATTGCAATAATAGTTGCATCTACAATGAATTATGTACTGCCTTGAATTTTTAAAAATATTTAAGAATTTTCCTAAGCCAGAAAGAAGAGCTAGTGCAGTTTGCAGGATGTGCAAGGACTCGTTTTTTTTATCCCAAGGGAACCAGAATGTCACGTGGCCTTTTAACTTCTGTTACAGCTCATTACATTAGGCCTGTATAGGTAATCATAAGACTTGCTTTGTGGCTGGTAGAATTAAGAACACTAAGGTCTGTAACATACAGAGAAATTAATTTTAAAACTTGACTTTTAAACTAGCCAAACACACCAGTCCACCACCAAGATTGAGAGATCAAAACAATTTGGAGAGCCTATACCTAGCCTTTTTTTAAACCAAAACAAACGGAGGATAATGCTTAAATGAGATCACCTTGTGCTTTTTTAAAACCTTTTTATCTTTAAAATGCAGCATCCAGTTTGTTTAAAAGCTTTCCAGGAAAATTCTATCCTGGCATAATTTTGGATCTGTGAAATTTCAAAGGGGCTTGTAATGGAAGGCCAGCTATGGAGTAACACTAGTCCTTTCAAGAGTAAGACATGGAGTGCTCTTTAAATTCATTTGCCATTCACCACTAGCCTTCCCTTTCTTTGCTAATTGGTTTTCTATTTTTATTCCTCTTCTCCACACCTTCATGTCTTTGTTTTTGTGTCTCATATTGCTCCTCCTAGTACTTCTGTGTATTTTCTTCTTATAAGGAAAAATCCTTGCAGAAATAGAGTTTAGTTATCCACGTGCTTAACTTTTGCTTCAGTTGGAGTTTTTACTATGCACTTTGGCCCTGATACTGCAGTCCGTTCCCTGTGAATGGACTCTTCCATCTGGTGCAAGTCCCAGTGATTACAGTAGGACTAGTGAGTCAAGTTAAACAAATGGGTAAATGTAGCATTGGAGTAAGAAGCCTTGCATCATTTAGATCAATGGGAGTTTTGCTGTTGACTTCAGTGGAGAAGAGGGTAGTGAGAATGAGAGAATGGACAATTCCTTACAACCCAAAGAGGAATATTGAAGTTACTATGGTTCAATGCTATGGTATCTGTAATACTATGATATCTGCAATGCTGCAGCTCGCTCATGGGGATCATATAGAAGTCCTAGCAAGGGAAGTTAAGTAGATTTGTGAACTGTTCATTTTCTCAGATTTATTTTGTTTACTTTTCTTCTTTAAAGCAACATTAGACTATTTTATGTAAAACTGACAAAAACAGAGAGTTGTTTTTGGCCATTTTAAGGACCTGCTTTAAGATAATAGAATCCAAGCTTTTTTGCTTAAGGCCTGACACTTCATTTGTCATTCATTCTGATGTCTTTTAATGTTGCAGCACATAATCCAATTATTGTTTAGGTAGTGCTTTAAATGCACACAGAGCTTTATAAAATATAAAAGACTCAAGGTGTGCCTCAATCAGCTTACACTCAAATGCAACAAGATGATAGGGGCAATAGTTCAGGAGCTTGAAGAAACCAATTTGCTGTAGGAAAGATTCAGGCTAGAAGGAAGCTTTCAAAACAAAGTTTTGGGAGAACACTTTGTAGTTGTGGCGAAGTAGGCTGGAAACAGATGCAGCCTTTGTGCCTCCAAAAAGTTTTTATGGAGGTACAAAGCCCAAGAAAACAGATGTCCATGCCCCTTTTTGCGCCACAACTGTCCAAAATTGTGACCATGACAATAGGTGGTATAAATTTATGCCACTTTCTTGTGGTGGATGTCTGCTTGTTTTATGGTGTGAGAACATGGGCAGCCTGGAACTGCCTCTCCAGCCACACTGGACTGACACTCCTGGGGCTTCAGGGGTCCAATCCTATGTGCCCTGGCAATTCTCCAGAAATAGGCCCCTGAAGCCCTGAGAGTGCCTTTCCAGGTTGGTCTACTTGTAGAGGTTTGCCTTGGGAATTCCTTGGAGGGGATGCCCCAGACACGCCTGTCATGCTGGTGCACCTGACTCAGGACAATGGGCGATATCTGTGTCATCTAGTGAAGCAAATCATCTGTGCTGGGACTTATTCTAGCAAAGTTGATCCCGCTTCAAATAAAACTTTTATTTATAGCTATAGACTGCTCAAAGATTAGAGAGAAGTAGTGTAGAGTAAAGGTTCAAAGCAAAAAGTGATAGAGATTAAAACAATGGAAAAGCAAAGGTTGAAAGGAACATAGGAAGTGAGAGCATTAGTGACTGGTGCCTCCTGAATTGGCGGGGAGGGGGGGTGATGACAGCAGCCCTGTCAGGGGGGCACCAGCCCTACTGACAGCATTAGTGTTGGCCATCAGGTGGGGCACGTGCACCCCCTACCAGTCACCTATGGGTGAGAGCACGACTGAGAAAAGAAGTTCAGAGTAGGCCTTAAAATGAATGAGTGATGACATAAAGCAGAGGGAATGAGCAAGGGAATGGGTATGAAAAGGCCAATCAAATTTTGATGCAAAGGAAGAAATGTCAGAAGAGAGGGACTGGGAGTGGATGAGCTTGATGCTTGGAGTTTGTGTATTCATCTGGTTTCTGAAATCTGCACTCATGGTTTCTGGTTCCCGACCTTAATATGTTTTAAAGCACCGAGATGTTTGTAATTTTAGATAATAGAGGTTGTGCAGCATACAGACAGTGTTGTTAATGGGCATAATGAACAGACCAAATTCCATACTGTTTCTACACTGTTCAGTGCCACTGAAGATTGTATATCAGCAGTTTCTTAGGTGAGATTATGTGGGTGTAAATCAACAGAGTGCCATAGAATCTTATTTAATATATAATACTATGGTGCTGAATAAAATTTTATGAAAATACTAGCGAATTGCCCATCAAGGATGATGGTGGGGGCTGCGGGGGGGAGGGCGAGGCCGGTTCCATGCCACCACCACCCTGTGCCATCCTTGCCTCCATGGACCAGGACCGGGGGAGTGGGGGGAGGCCAGCAGCGCTGGCCTTGCCCCCCTGCTTTGTCTCCTCCATCACCACTGTCATGGTGGCGCTCCGCAGTCCCACACTGTCCCTGCCATCCCCTCTGTTCCTTTCCGCCACCATCCCACGCCACCGCCGCCTACAAGGAAGGAGCAGGACCAGGGGGGCAGTGAGGCCAGTGGTGTTGGCCTCAACCCCCTGCTCTGTCCCCTCCATTCCCTCCATCCCCACTGTCATGGGAGCATTCTATCCCTGCCATCTTTCTCCCTGCCCCCCACTCTGTGTCTGGCCCCGCACCCCTCCTCCACTCTGTCCCCTCCATCCCCGCTGTCATGGCAGCACTCTGTCCCCGCTGTCATTCTTCCCCCACCCTCCGTGCCTGGCCCTGCACCACTCCCTCATCCCCCATCCTTGCCGTCAATCTTGACAGGCAATTCGCTCTGTGTGAAGCACTGGCCGGAGCCCTGCCCCACTGGGAGCCATGTGCCACAAGAACATTACAAACAGACAGACAGGCAGATGGACTAAGCCCTTTATTCTATATATATAAAGGGCTTAGTTCACCTGCCTGTGTGTCTGTTTGTCTGTTCGTAATGCTCTTGGGGGTGTGTGGCTCCTGGTGGAGCATGGCTCCAGCTAGTGCTGTGTGTGGGGCGAATTGCTCATCAAGAATGATGGTGGGGATGGAGCGCTGTCATAGAGGTGGATGGTGGAGCCCTGCCCTGCCCATCATTCTTGACAGGCATTCTTGACGCAGCACTGGCTGGAGCCCCGCCCCGCCAGGAGCCATGCCCCCACAAGCGTTATGGACAGACAGACAGACAGATGGACTAAGCCCTTTATATGTCTCTCTCTATATATACATATATATATATATATATATTTATATATATATAGTGGCCAGTCATTGAACAGCAATAAGGTTATAGGGAAGGAAAACTAAAAGGCTCCGGAATCATTGTTATTTCAACTCTGTCGCTTGTTCTACAAGGTAGTTGACACACGTTTGTTTCTTTTCTTGTCATTTGCAGAGTGATACAAGTAAGAATCCTGCCTCATTAACCATAAAGAATGTTTCTTCTAAGGACAGTGGACTACGGATTTCTTGTTTAGCAGAAAATATTGTGGGAGAAGACCAAGCTTCTGTTGAGCTCACGGTGTTCTGTACGTAAACAGTGTTGCATACAATTTCAGCTGCAGAGAACCCTGATCAAACTGCATCAGCACAAAAAATGTTGGGTGTAAATGTCTGTTGGGCACATAAGTTATTGAAGTAAAATATCCTCCAAGTTTATGAACTATATTACATTTAACAGCACAATCAGAAGTTGTTATTTTTTAATGTTTTACTACATGGAACTGAACATCCCTGCGTATCTGGGCTTATACCTGTCTTAACTTTCAGTTTGAACTCATTTAAGTCAATGTTTGAAGTCCCAAATGTTCAAGAGACAATATAAACTGGAGATGTGTGTGTATATATATATATACATTATATACATATGAATATGTGTGTGTATAGAAGGAGAGGTGCACACAGTAATAATTGACCCTATTATCTTAATAGTATTAAGTGTTAAAGCCGTTCCTCTAAACAGTAATTCTGGTATGTTAAAAAATAGTTATTCTGTAACATTTGTTTTCCCAGGCATATTTTACTTTGCCCATAGCTCTGAAATAATCAATTTACTTGTTATGGTCAGGACAAGAGAGTTGGTACATGGGATAAAATCACTAACCTCTTAACTGTAAGATTCCAGCATGAATCTATTTAAAGTGAATTAAGTAGGATATTTAAATAGTCTTCAGCTGTTGACTCTTCACAGTAATCATCAGTTGGAAGGCTCAGACTTAGACAAAAATTTGCTTAGTAGATGCTCATGGCAGATTAGATTAAAGAAGTATCTATAGATGAAATGTTTTATAAGTTTAAATCAGATGTCAAATAGCTACTGGAAGGGACATAAACCACAAATATTTTGAAGGGTGTTAGCAAGGAATCCCAGATTGACTGCATTATGAATGGTATGAAGGAATATAACTAGATGGAAATTGGATGAGTAACAAGGAAAACTTCTTGCCAGTGAAATGTGCAATGTTGTGGAAAAGTCTCCCAAAGGAATCAATAGTGTGGTCCATAAAATTGGGACATTTTGAATTCAATAGCATACTAGAAAATGTACTGTAGGAAATGATCTTGTACTGGTTAGGAGATAGCAGGGGTCAGCAATATACTGCCCATGGGCCAGATCTAGCCCACAGAGCTGGAAGACTTTGCCTCTGGCCATGCCTATGCTGCGGCTATACTGTAGGTGAATAGCTGGAAGCTGTACCTGCATTGCCACCATTTCCCCTCACCTCCCTGCTCCTTGGCTGCAGGGCAGGCACAATTTTCAGCCAGTGGCAAAGTAAGCTGGAACTGGGGCCTTCCAGCTACACCCGTGCTACAACTGGGAGGTGGGGAAAAACAGCAGCAGTGTGGATGCAGCTTTCAGCTGCCCCTCACAGCTCCCCACCAGCTGGAAGCTGCACCTCCACTCCTGCTGGGAAACAGGGGGCTGGGACAAGTGGGTCTGGTACTAGTGGAGCCCCCAGGTGCCTGGTCCCAGAAAGGGTACATGCAAACCTTACTGCTAGTGTACTTCTGAAGCCAGCTTGCCTGAGTTGGACTGCAGCCAGGTTGTTCTAGCCCACATCTTGAAAAAGTGGACTGCTCTTGCTCTCTAGTATCCATGATGCTATGATGAAAATCACCTAAAAATGTGGATGCTGATTTGAATATACTTCTAGTGCTGTTTCACATTTTAATTAGCTCTTCAACACTTTTTATAGTACTTGGTGCTTTGGCTTAAAAACAATGTGGAGGAGTTCACATTAAACAAAAACCTTTAGGAGGACTTTTTCTCACCCCATAAAACCTGAAGTGCTTAAAGCTGTTCCTGATTTTATCCAAACCCATTTGTACATCCCTTTCTAAACAATAGTTTCCAGAGCTACTGTCCAATTCAGGTCTGAATTTAGAACCATAATCAGAGTAAGTGGGTGTACTCTGTTTTCCTATATGAATATGTTTATAAATAAGCTAAAGAGTGTAGTTTTCACAACTGACTATCTTTTAGCTTTAATGATTAGAAAAAAATTCCTAAATATTGGGGTGGGGGGGAGGGGGGGGGGAGACATGTTCAGGCTATTCTGATGTTGTTCACTCTTTTTTTCAATATAGTTGCACCAAATATCACATTTATTGAATCTCCAACCTCGGACCACCACTGGTGCATTCCATTCACTGTGAAAGGGAACCCTAAACCCACACTGCAGTGGTTCTATGAAGGGGCTATACTGAATGAGTCAGAATACATCTGTACTAAAATACATGTTATCAATCAAAGTGAATACCATGGCTGCCTTCAGTTGGACAACCCTACCCACTTGAACAATGGAGCTTATACCTTACTGGCAAAGAATGAGTATGGAGAAGATGAGAAGCGAGTTGATGCTCATTTTATGTCAATGCCAGGAGATGGTGAGTACCTTTTTTCTATGTTAGGAATGGCACATTGATGATCATATAGTGGTAGTGCTGCTGACCAGCCTACAGGTATTAATTTGATGTTGCTGTTAATGAAATGGGCTGATCCACTGCTTTTTAAATTTAAGAGTTAGCTTAAAATAAACTTCTCTCTACATCATGACTTTTTAAAAAGTTTCCCTTCCCATTTGAGACTTCTTTTCACTTTTGATTTGCTTAAGTGAGCCGCAAAATAGCTCCATTCCAGGCCCACAGTTCTTCCATGCCCTGACAGAATTGGTAAAGTAATTGTTTTTATAAAAGACCTTTCCCAGTAAATAAGTTCTGATCTTGAAAAGTGCTGATTTCAGCATGAGCTGAAAATTTTCTTCATCTTGTATGACTGAGATGAGGATGAATATTCAAGTCCCTATGGAAATATTCATATTCAGGATTGTTTTTTTCTAATGTAAATTCACTAGTGCAGTCTCCTAGTAAACGCACAAGTCAACATACTCATTAGGGCACTAGAGGGGGCTGCAGAGAAAACAAGTACCCCTTTAGGCAGGGGAGACAAGATGGCCACTGATAACTATTTATATAGGGAGTTGCTGTATTAAAGGTTCTGTAACAGACCTCCCTGTTTGGTTGGCAGCCAGGATATGACAGACACTCAAAATGTAGGGATTACAGTAAGTGTCTTATGTTTATTATGGTTTGATACTCCTCTCCAGAACAATGCATGGTATTCATGTGGCTAAGCAGTAGACTTCTACTTGTCCATGTGAAATTTCTCTTGCTGTACGTGCACCTCACCTGTGAAGTATGGAAGCATTTTGGTGCAAGTAATTGCACATTTATACCTGAAAATCTGGGTGGTGGTATATACATTTCAGTTTCTCTAACCATTGGGTAGAAATAAACTGTCCCTAATTGAAATGGTGATGCCTAATCCTATGTTCTCCTCTTACAGTGACAGGAAAATTGGCTTTAAACATTTATATTTGAATTCTGTCCCCTTCACTACTAGTTATAAGCATAAAAAATGTACCCAATATTCAATACTTGAGGTACGTTGATTTGATAAGCAGCTATGTGATGGTTCTCTTCCCAGTTCGTGCAGTAGATTGAGAGTGGACACAGTTACTCCAGCGTCTCTTAGAAGCTTATCTCCTCTCTTTTCCTCTAGAGAGTCCTTCCCTAAATAAAATCATTACAGGAACAGTCCGGGGCTTCAGCTACTGGCAGCCTCCAATATTGCATTATAACAATCCAATAAAACAGTCCACCTTACAGAGATACCATTTAAAATGGAAAGCAATTTTGACTTGGCTGCATTCACTTAGAAGAATAAACAGTTTGTTTAATAAGTTTATAGGAATTTAACAAGGCTGTCTGGAAGTTCAAGCAGAAGAAGATACCTGATATTGTCTTCTTTTGGGTGCATTTTTAATTATTTTGGCCTTTTTAATTATAAAATGGAATAGAACAGATCATCCCATTTCAAAAGGCAGTATTATACATTTATTCCTTCAGTTTTAAATTCCTATGTGTTGTAAATTTTGGAGAAAATCTGTGTTGTGTCCTTTTAAGCGTAGCTCCAAGTCTGTGGTGAATTAGGCTTCATAAATACATTATAGAGGAAACTACTATAAATGTAGTCAGGATGTGTCTATTTTACAAATTGCTACATGTAGGATACATGGCCACAAACCAGTCTTTAAAAATTAACAGGAAGAAACCATCTATCCTGGCTGGTTCCCCAAAGCACTTTTTATCTGGTAAGCTGTTTCATGTAAGGTGTGTGTGATGCTGAGTTTTAATGTTCTACAAAAATGATATAGGTTCTTCCCTTAATACTTCTGACTCTGTCGCTGAAGCTGTCATTGGGTCAAATATACATATTGTAAATTTACATTAAATTACATTTCTGTTGTTTAAAAAAAGCTCTGTATAATGAAGCATAAAAATTAGGCACACACCCAGATCTGTGCATTTCTGTGCCTGCATAATAGAATTGAATACCAGCTCTGATGTTTAATGGAGTGCGGTATCCTCCTCAAGCTTTGAACTGATTCTGTGATTATTGAATCACTTACAGCCAAATGCACTGAAGATATTAAAAAAATGCCCAAAACAACAAAACCAAACCAAAACAAAAAACTTGAGAGTAATTAAAAAAACCCCAACCCAGTCATAAAGCATATAATGTAATTTTAAAAATAAAGACAATGGAGCCTCGAGGACCTTAAAACATCACAGCAAAACACTCCACCTTTAAAGGTGTATCAGTCACAATGTAGATAGGATCCATTACAAGAACCTCTCTGCCTACAGTATGTTGTTTGTGGAACAACCAACTTTTTGTACTACTGGGCTGAGGAAACAGCTTAAAAAATTAGGGGAGCCAATGATACTGGCAACATTTGGAGTACAATAATAACATTGCAGTTAACACCAGGAAGCATATTGCTTATCAGAAACTTTTGTTTTATCTATTGAAGGAAATGTTCTGTTCTATGGGACTTTGTTTGTTGGTCTCCCGCACATAAGCAGAGATCTTGTCTGAGCATGCTAGCAGAAATCAACCTGGACTCTTCCCTAACTATAATATAGATCTCATGAGGAGATCCTTTAACTTGGGGATTTAAAACTCAAGCAGCTTTGCACCAATAACTATCCTTACTTTGGGGGCTACACAAAAGAGGGAGGGGTTGGTCCATGATGCATTATTCTAGCTTCTAAACAGAGAACTTTATTTGTTAAGGTTGTATACAGTCTATCCATTTAACAGGACCTAGTTCCCTGAAATATACTTTGTTTTTCCTAGAATCATATTGAATAGTGCTCTAAGTATGAGTTACCTAAAAATGTCTCATATTGCAGAAGCCCCATAGATCGTATAGTAATGTAATAATTTCTACATTGAATTTTTGATCAAATCCCTTTTTTTAGGATTTACTGTAAAATCTGAGCAACTTTCAAGAAGGACACTGGATATGACCGATGAGTTTGTCTACTATGGCAAATCACATTCCTATAAACATTAAGGAAGATCCTCAGCTGATATGTAAATGGTTAGGTTTGATTGGCTTTGATGAAGCTGTCCCTATCTAACCAGCTAAGAATGTGGCTTGCTGTTTTTGAACAGCCTTAGGACAAACATTGTGAATAAGTTACACTTCAGTCCTGGCATGCCAAAGCATTTGTTTTAGTGTCACAATATTACTAAATCCTTCTTTTATTTGTTGTAAGTTTCACTTAGGGCCTTATTATGTGTTGATAAGGGGCAGCTGTTGGGCCTCTTAACACTTGGTTTGTCCACACATTAACACCTGAAACTAGTTTTAAGAACTGATTAGGCAGCTTAAAGTTATGCCACTCCAGGGCAAGATTATCTCTGATCCGTGTTACCCAGGGCAGGATTATCTCTGATCCGTGTTACGCTAGCCAAATTCCTGCTCACTGCCCCTCCCCCTGCTTACTTCTGGCTGGCTGTGCTATCTGTTCCTGAGGGAGCAGGCAAGGAAGGATTAACCTGCCTGGCTGGCCACCACCACTACCACCGCCGCTCTCTGGCTTGAGTTTAGCTTGGAGAAGAGCAACCACCCTGTGACATGAAAATGCTAGATGTGCTTTGCAATTTTTAGTTTTTATACTTTTTGCAATAGATTCTCAAGCACTTGGTCCAAGAAAGCAGAAACAAAAATGCTCTAATTTCACTTTGCACCGGTTGTATACCTTGTAACTGCACATGTGAAGTCACTTAAACAGAATCATGCCCACTGATGGATTCCTCTTAATATGTTTTAAATATTTCCAAACTTTAATTTCAGACTGTATAAACAAATAGAAAACATACAGAAACTATAACTAAGAGACTGTTCTATAGGACTTATGCTGTGTCATTGGATGCAGTATAAATAAGCATAAATTGTTATGCTGAAAATATGATATCTTTTCAAGTGTAAATTGATTGATGCTTTAATATACTCAACATCAACAATTCTGTGTATTGAAGGCTTGCAAGATCAAATCCATATATATATGCACTAATAAGAAAAAGGTGCAAAATGACATGAAAAATATAGTGGGACAAGAAACTAGGTTTTTGCCCACCTTACTTGCATAAGGTCTTGGCTCTCTCTAGTTGCTGTGTGAATGGGGTTCTCATTCTGTTGTGAATCCTTGGGAGGTCTGTACTTGGGTCCTTGAGGGAACAGTTCTAGCAGAGTCAATGAAGCTACACTGTTGAGGCTATTGGTGCCTTTGGCCTGTAGTCTTAAGTGACATGCTGCTTTTTGACAATGTCACAACTACAAACCATGTTATCCTGATTTAAGTTAAATGTATTAGACCATGTGCACCTTAGTACAACTGAGGGAAACTCCCATTGAAGCCAGAGGGTCAAATTCTGATTCTATCAATATCAGGAGGACTTTCCTATTGTGTCACCAGGCATAGTTTGTTCTGCTCTTATTTCATATTTATACTAATGTAACAGTAGAATTTGGTGCAGGTGGGAATTGCCCCCTTTGCCAGGAAAGTAGATCAGATCTTTCATATCAAGCAAATACTTACATTTAGGATCTCTGGAAAAAATTAAAGATGCAATTTAATAAAAACCGTATGAATTATATTGAGTGTTGTTTTGTGGAGATTCTGACTGTTGTTACTTAATGGCATTCCTATGGCTAATAATCTTTTAATTCATAACAAAATTCCTAAAAAAACCAAAACAAAACCCAACAAAGTAAACTAAAAGCCCTGTCGTTCTTCATCAATTATTTGTAAAATATTTACAAACTTTTTTCTCTTTCTCTCTTTCTCTTTCTTGGACAGGTAGTGGCCCAATCCTAGATCCTGATCTTTATGGTAATATATTTGATTTTTTGTTTTGTTTTGTTTTTGAAATGACAAAATAATAAGTAACTCAAACTGCTAAAAGATGGACTGTTATGCTTGGTTGAATGGCACATATTTTAACATGAATCAAGTGTCCTTTGTATGAATGGTTCTTTTCCTGCTTATTTTATTTTAAGTGAATTAAGGGAAAAACATATTACTTTTTCTACCTCTGTCTCTAATGCTTTTGCTTCCAACCAGTAGAAGCATAAATTTACTGCTATTGAATGGTTGCAAAGGTCCCTTTATAGACTTATTACAACTATGGATGGCACAGCTCATTCATTTTGAGGTTTTGTGAGCTTCAGTTCATTATCTTTCCCTTTATAATTTAAATAATATTTTTTCTGAAAAGATAATGGACCATTTGATTTACCTCTGTAAAAGGAGGCCTAGACTATAAGGGAAAATATAATTTGAAAAATAAGGTTGGCACAAGTGCTAACTCCTTTAAACAGGTTATTTTCTCTTCTAGTTTACCTTTCTCAGTTTCTTTGAAGTGTAATGTTCAAGTTGATGCTCAATTAGACAAAATATTTTAGCTTATTCTTTACAAAGGCTGATCTATACTATAAAGGCAGTGTGTAAACTTGGCTGTGCCTATTGACCAACCATGAAAGTCCATCTTTAAGAGTGCTTCCAAACTATCCTTTATTTTCTTGGAGGAGTTGGATCCTGCTCAGTATTTGGTTATTTGAATGAAATGGCCCATGACTTAAATTTCCTTAGGCTGAATTAAATGTTATTGCTTTGATTCCATTCCATGTCATTAACCTTTAGCCTGAATATGCTGTTTGGGATCAAAGTGGTTTTAAGTGCTTAGGAAATATTTAAAGCATAGCTTCTCCTCCCTTTTTTCCAAATGCTTTACTTGGATAGTTTAGACAGTTCCTTGCCTGTGCTCTATTATGTAAGTAGTATGAACAAGGTATAAATCCTTTGGTTTTGCTCTATAAAATTATCTGAGGCCCCTGTTTAAGAAGGTAATGATGTTTGAGCTTGCTTTTAACCATGCAAGTACTATCATTGGCTTTGCTGAGAACTACTGATATGTTTATATTTACCCAAGAGATTTGGTATTTTATTGAACTGGAGTTTGGAAGAACTACTGCTATAGAATAAAGTGTCATTTCATTTGTTTCCCTTTTGAAATTATTGCTCTTGGACTGTGTTTTTTTTATTAAAGATATACACCATCACTTCTTGCTCGCTGTGAGACTCTTAGTAGTCTAACTTGTAGTTGTTCTAATTTCACTGGTATAGTTAGTGGGTTGAGCAAATGACAGCTAAAATACTCAGCTTTAAATGGTTGTATAATTATTTTTTGAGTGTCACAAGTTGAAGTCAATGAACTTGAAATTGCCGTGGGACTAGCTCCTGTTCTGTGACCTTGCATGTTTCATGGAATAATTTTAGAAAGCTTCTTTTCGTCTACTTGCATTCTCTGTTGAAATAAAGATGTAAAGGTTCATCTTCCCACATCAAAACTCCCCCTTGCCCCCAAAGAATTTTTCAGACTCCTATGAAAACTAAGAATTTGCTGTCTAGATTTTATTGGGGAGAGGCAAAAGTAATAATAAAAAGAAAAAAGTCTGCAAGATCTACCCCCCCAGACACTGCCTTTTTACCAAAGTGCTTTAACACTACCTTTAAGTTGGAGTGCTGTCAGCTTCTGTTGAAGCCTGTGAGAGATGAAAAACACTTGCTGCCCAAAGGACTGGGCACTTAAGGAGGAGTAGGTGTTTACTTACATTTGGACGTGGGAGGGAGAGCAAACACATCAAGCAGGGAGAATGGTGAACTGCAGCTCTCCAAATATAATTTAGAAAGCTACTAATAGGAGGAATTGAAGCAGGGTGTAAAAGGGACACCCTTTAACTCAGCTGAAATAAAATGGCCTGCAGGCAGCAAAAAATCAGGGGCTTAAATGGAATATTTTTCTTCCCAAAATAAGGCGGTGGGTGGGGTGTGCACGCATTTGTGTGTGTGTGTGGTGGCTAGTAACACTCTGTAGTGCATGGGCCCATTGAGTCCCCAAGGAGGGGCAGAGTAGGACACTTTCATTATGCCCCCCTGTGACTTGTATTAGTTGATATGGAATGGGCCTTGCACAAACAGATCTATTCATTGGTTAGGCCCTGTGCTCCAGGGACAGAAGTTACACATAAACTGGTTTAAGTAATCAGAAACTTTTATAAACCTATAACAGAACAGAAGTTCAGTGAACATAAACTGCTTTCAATATGATCAGACTGCTTAAAATAAACCTGGTTGAATATAGTATCAGACTTAACTGATTTAGGTCAAACCGGTTTATGGAACTTCTGTCTCAGATCCCTCCCTGATTCAACTTAACCCCACAGTCCTCCAGCATCCCAGGATGCTATGCAGCTCTGGGCTATGCTCTCTGCTCCACCAGAGCAGGGCAGGTCTGCCCCTAACTGTAAAATCCCAGGCAACCCAGAGCCTGACCAATTCATCTGGCCTTGCCACCTCCACCATGGGAATTGGCCTGGCTCCCAGCTGAGGTGGAAGTAAACCCCCCACTGTGGACTTCCCTGCATGCTGGGTACAACCTGGCTGGGGGTCCAGAGCTGGTGGGGGCATTTCCTCTCCCCTCCCCAGCCAGCTGCCAGCTAGGGAAGGGATGTGGCTGGGTGATCATCCTGCTTGGATTCCTAGCTTGGGTGGGGGCAGCAAAGTGGGCTCCCCACTCCCCCCCCCACCCCCCCCATGCCAGGCACAGTTTGGTTGGGGGCCTGGAATAGGGGAGGGGGAGGGATAGGGAAGCTGTTCCCCCTCCCATCCCCCAGCTCCTTCCTCAGCCTGCCTGCTGGCTGGAGAGGGGAATAGCCAGGTGATCGCTCTGGCTCCTAGTTCCCAGCTCAGGTGGAGGGAGTAAAGCCCCTAGTTTGGGCACCCCCTACCCTGCACCAGGCACAGCCTGGCTGGGGGGTCCAAAACCAGGCAGAGGGGGGCCATATCCCTCCCCACCATGGGTCTGCCTGGTGGGGAGGGGACATTGCTTGGTAATCACTTCAGCTCCCAGTAGGGCGGGAGGAATAAAACCCTCACTGTGGGCTTCTCCACAGCCGAGAGCTGGTGCAATTACCCAGCCATGCCCCCTGGCAAGCCAGCTAAGGAGGGAGTTTGGGGAGGAGGGTCCCCCAACCCAGCTCTGGTCCCCCAGCCAGGCTGTGCCTGGCATGGGTCAGAAGCCTGCAGTGGGGGCCATTTACCTCTAAGTCCCTCCTCAGCCAGCTTCCAGCCAAAGAAGGGCCATGGCTAGGATATCGCTCTGGCTGCCAGCTGCAGGGAAGCTCACAATGGGGGCTTTACTCCCCCTGCCTGAGCCAGGAGCTGGGACAATCACCCAGCCATGCTGTCTCCTCAGCTGGCAGGCCAGCTGAGGAGGGAGTTGGGGTAAAAAATGGCCTCCACTGTGCGCTTCCTTCTTGTACTGGGCACAGCCTGGCTGGGGATCCAGATCTGGGTCAGGGGGCCCTTTCCCCCCTCACTCCCTCAGTAGCCTGCTGGCCGAGGAAGGGGCATGGCTGGGTGATCTCCCCAGCTCCCCCACTTTGGCAAGGGGAGTAAAGCCCTGACTTCAGCTTCCCTGCACCTGGCTAGGCCCCCTCCTTGGCCAGCTGGTCACTGAGGAGGGAGTGAGCGGGGGAAAGGGCCCCCACACCTGGCTGTGGATCCCTGGCCAGGCTGTGCACATCACAGGGGGAAGCATGCAGTTGAGGCCATTTTTCCCACCCACTCTGTCCTCAGCTGGCCTGCCAGCTAGGGAGACAGCATGGCCAGGTGATCGGCCCAGCTCCTAGTTTGGGCAGGTGAGTAAAGCCCCCACTGTGAATAACTTTCCTGCAGCTGGCAGCCAGGACAATCACTGGGCCATGACCCATCTTCAGCTGGCAGACTGGCTGAGGAGGCACTGGAACGTGAAATGGCCCCCACTGTGGGCTTCCCCCACAATGCCGGACACAGCCTGTCTGGGGGTCTAGAGCTGGGTGAGGGGGCCCTTCCCTCCTCACTCCCTCCTCAACTGACCTGCTGGCTGAGGAAGTGCCATGGCTGGGGGATTGTCATGGTTCCCGGCTGCAGGGAAGCCTGCAATGGGGGCTTTACTCCCCCTGCCTAAGCCGGGAACTGGGGAGATCACTGGGACATGCCCCCCTCCTCAGCTGGCAGGCTAGGTGAGGAGAGAATGGAGGAGGGAAAAGCAGCTTCCACCGCGGGCTTCTCCCTTGCCACGCACTCAGCACTGCCTGGCTTGAGTCTGGAGATGGGAAGCGGGGCATTCCCCCCCACCCCCACTCCCTCCTTAGCTGACCAGCCAGCCAAGGAAAGGGCATGGCTGGGTGATGGGCCTGGATCTGGCTCTGGGTGAGGGGGGAGTAGGGGGAGAAGCACTTTGCTCCCCGTTCCCTTTGTACTGTGGAGACCCCAGCTGGGGGTCCAGTGCAGGGTGATGGAGTTCCTTTCACATCTCCTCCTCAGCTGGCCCAGACTGAGGAGGGGGCATGGCCAGGGGGCTCTGAGCAGGGGGAGAAAGAGAAATGCCCCACCAGGGGCTTCCCCCATCCCCTTACCCCTCCCTTAGGATTGGACAGTTCCCCCCACACCCACTCCTCAGCTGGCTGGAGCCTGAATCACTCATCTCCTGAATGGCTCATCTCCTGGCTCTCTACTGTGGCTGTCAGGCTGGGAGGCATGCTTTAGCACACCCCTGGTTCCTGGTATAGGCTACTGCAGGGGTCTAGCTGCCTTTCAGGTTTGAAAAGTGAACATCAGCTCCCTTTCTAATTGGTTCAATCTAGGCATCTTACAAGAACCTGCAAAGTTTGAATCAGTTCAGTCTCAGGGTTTTTAACTGTCTGTACTTAGTGTCCACCCCCCAGTTTTGTGCAGAGTGAATCCTTTTAAAGAAGGATTTGATCTGTCCCTATAGGTTTGACCTTTACAACTCTGTGTTGCATGTGGTAGCTTCCAAACCGTCTCATGATTAAGGCTAAGTACAGACAGTCCAAAAGCCCAAAGCTTAATTGATTCAGGCTTTGCAGGTTAGTTTAAGCTGCAGAGATTAAATTGAAACAGAAGTGAACACATATTTAGCTTTGATTCAGGAAATGCAGCTACATGCCTGCAGTGGCTCAGGCCAGAACCTGGGAGGCACTACTGCACAGCAATCTGGCATCTAGTCAGCATGGGCTGTGTGTTTGCATCCTCTTCCTGGTGCCCCTGAGGTCTCTGGGATTTGCAGTCCTGGCTCACAGCATCAGGACTCCACAGGGTTGCTTATCACTTCCTCTAACTGCTTCCAGGTGCCTCTGGGTTTTTAGTCCACAGTTGCAGCCAGCAGTAAATTTGAGCTGTGGAAGGGGTGTTTAACCCCTAGTTGTGCTCGCCCCACACTACGCCTTTGTCAGCCAGCCCTCACTGCTCCAACTGGGGAACAGAGGGGTGGGGCCAGCGTTGCTCTCTGGAGTAGACAGTACAGCCCTGCTGAGGGCTGCAAAACATGCTTGGGGACTGTGATTTAAGTTGAACCAGGAAGGGGTCTGGGACAGAAGTTTCATAACCCGGTTTGACCCAAATCAGTTAAGTCTGAGACTACATTCAACCAGGTTTATCTTAAACCAGTTTCAGCTATTTTGAAACTAATTTATGTGCATTGAGCTTCTGTTCTGTTACAGGTATAAACCAGTTTTTGATCACTTAAACCAGTTTATGTGTAACTTCTGTCCCTAGCCTAAGTGTTTCAAAGATGGTACAGGAAGCAGAAGTAGTGACCTGCAAAAGAAAAAAGGTTTTAGTATGGGACACAAGATGTCTTTTATTGACAATGATAATATTTATCATTTCTGTATCACTTCCCATGCTCCAAGCTTTGCACAGACATTAATCCTTCAAATAATTAATCCACACAGCATCTCCGTGGCATGGATGACTAAGAACTACTATCCCTATTTTTACAGGTAGAGAAACACAGGCAGAGATTTGAAGTGACTTGTCCAAGGCCAAACAGGAAATCAAATGCAAAGCTAGTATTTCTGATTCCCAAGCTCACATTCAGGCTATCAGGCCATCAGGAGCAACTATGTCAGATAAAGACTTGACTGTGTCACAGAATGATTGCTGTGTTTATGAAGTGTGTGCTGTTGTAGGTTATGTATGTGATTCCTATTTTTTGCACACACACTGACTTTGAAGTCTGGGATGCTTAGTCTTTGCTATTTGACAACTTTTGTAGTCACAGTGGCATCAAGTGGGTAGAAAGTCCTTGCTTGCTTTGGTATTTGTTTACCTCCAGTTGGCACAGGTGTAAATGACTGCAGAAGGTATGGAACAGTTGATACTCCACCTCTGAGTGGGTCAAAATACATGCATATACTTTCATATATTTCTGTGCACAAATTGAGTAATCACATGCAGAAGAACCCATTCAATTGCATGATTTTCCTCCTGATGCAGTTTTGCCCAGATGATTCTTGGGCACATGTTTGCAAACCTCACCCATCATAAGAGGTCTTGAAAATCTCGCTTTAATTCAAGCATGAATTTATCTGATTCCCAATCCTTCAACAGGAAGTGGCAATGCAACACTAATGTGGTAAAGTGACCTCATTTATCTCTTACCCTTTCTAATGCAGTACTGCATTCAGAGTCATTTAACAAAAAAGCACTAGAAAACTTGCTTCTGATTAATCCCCCAGGATATGCTTTCCCATGGCTAGTGTTAGGAGGAAGGGTACACATAATTGGGAAATACTGGGAATGTCTACATGTGCCCCTGACTATGCATTTGGTACTGTGGAGTCATTTAGTACTAAATGACTCCACTCTACCTGCCAGTATTGCGCAGTCTTGCCAGCACACAGTTATTTTTCGACACTCCATCGCCGTAGCGGTGAGCTACAATGATGTAGCTCATCGCTATGGCAACATAGTGTCTCATGTAGATGCACCCACTGTTTGTTACATTCTGGCCTCTGTTCCTGCAGGTAATTAAGGTAATATTTGTCCTTCTGAAGATGATGTTTATCTTGTAGAGACAGCTTGCATTTTTATATTAGTCTGTTTTACTGTGCCTTTATTCAGGCAATTTGTATAGAACATTACTAAAATACAGAAGTTAAAAGTAACTTCAACAACTTTACTTGTAAAGGAAGCCAGATTCCAAATCCAGAAAAATACTGCACTGATTGGATCTGCTGGTATTCTAGTATCTGGGTACTTTTCACAGATGTAAAAGTTAGTGCTCCTTCTCCTGTTGTGACATAACAAGACAATAATGCTCCTGACATTAACTGACAGTCTGCACATCACCATCTCTTGGTTGTCATACTGCTTGTGCAGATGGGGAATGAAAGCAGGGTATAATCTGTGTAATCTAAGAAATGCTGCAGCCTTGAGTTTCTCTACAATTTGATCCCTGATACATATGTAGACAAGGGAGGAAAATGACCTTAATGTTGCATTAGGATTGAGATTGCAGACAGTGGAAACTCAGGAAATGATTTTGTGATTCTCATAAAAGCACAGATAATGAATGCCCTGGCACACACAATGTCTTAGTATTCATTAGGATTGGACAGTTTGTATGTTATAGATCCAGATATGCATATATGACACTTGGTCTGATTTCTCTGTCCCTGCCAAGTCTTAATTGGACATTGAACTGGTGACAGGACAACCGTGTAGATGCACCATGCCAAACAGCTCTTTAACCATATGTGGTAGATGGGGTGATTTTCTGGAAGAAAGCATAAGTGTATGTGCATAAAAACTGAATGGGCCAGCACAGCATGTTATCAGCATGCCCGTGTGATAGCTCTCAAATGGCATCATGAGCCTGGAGAAAATACATCCACCAGGATGCAGACCTTCCCCTTCCCCCATGGCAGTTTTGAGGTTAGAAACATCACTCATGATCCTGCTCCCGTTAAGAGACCCTAACCCCCCTTCGCCCCCCGCCCCGCTCTTTGTAATAGGCTTATTCACAGATATGGCTGTGTTAAGGGTGCAGTATCTCTTTCGGGACTTTAAGGGAATACAGACATTTTCTTGAGGCCCTCAGTTGCTGCCTTGGAGCAGATGTGAAGATTTCCCTCCCTTTTTTCTCAGGCAATCCACCAATGTAAAGAAGCAGCTGCAGAGATGGGAACCTAGGTTAGGATTTTGCATCTTAAATACAGCCCAACAATATGTAATTGCATTGTTTTTCACTTACATTTTGCTGTTGATTATGACTATACCACTGCAATTTGCTTTTTTATATATCAATTTTCAAATCCAAATTTCATTTACAGGTTATTTGCATTACATTTCTTGTTGATTTCAGACAAAGTATAAATAGAGAAACCTGTGATTAATTATAAATTGAATCCTGCT